AAAAAAAAAAAAAAAAAAAAAAAAAGCTGAAGAGACACAATTAAATGCAACGTACAACCTTGATTAGCTTCTGACTTAGAGGGGAAAAATTCAGCTATGTAGGCATTTTTAGAGACAATTGGAGAATTAAGAGTTATGTGACCATGGGATTATTGTTAATTTTTTTGTTGAAATAAGGTATTGCTAGGAAACAGGCTGAAGTATCTAAGGAGAAGTGTCATGATGTCTGCAAATTGCAGCTAACCCTGGAAAAACAGAGGTTTAAACTTTGCGGATCAGTTATAATTGGATTTTCTTCCACCTCAGTCACCCCTGAGATTGCAAGACCAACCCTCCTTTTCCTCCTCCTCCTCCTCAGCCTACTCAATGTAAACACAATGAGGATGAAGACTATTACGATTATCCACTTTCACTTAATGAATATTAAATATATTTTATGATTTTCTGAATACTATTTTCTTTTAAGAATAGAGTATATAATACATATAACATAAAAAATATGTGTTGACTATTTATATTATCCATAAGGCTTCCAGTCACCAGTATGCTATTAGCAAATTTTAGGGGAGTCAAAAGTTATGTTTCAATTTTCAACTACACAGAGGTCAGTGCCCCCAATCTCTGTTATTACTCAAGGTTCAACAGTATTTTCAAATTACTTTTCAGCAATAAAAAGTAAATATCTTCAAAGATACAGTCAGTGTGGCAAAATGTCAACTGTAGAATCTAAATGGTTTATGGTGTTCATAGTACTTTTCGGTGGATTTGAACATTCTCAAAATTAAAAGAGCAGCAGTAAAAGACTTCACTCTGGCTGCCTGCAGAGGGCAGTCTGGAGGCAGGAGAGGACGGTGGAGGAAACCTGTGGTCCAGGGCGCAGTTGGGGTTCAGCGGCCTTTTCCTATCTCAGTGCCCCACGCCCACTAAGTCATAGGTACCACCTGTCATCACCACCCCATGGCCACTCATGCTTGAGAGGAGAGTCCTGCACAGAGCCAGGCTCTGCTCCCCATTTCCCTCTTTATGCCATTCCCTGACCCCCACCACCCCTAGCGCGCCCCGGCCCAAGAGCCATGCAGGGACAGGAGGGCGGCTCTCAGATATCTTGTGGGGTATTGGATGTGAAAAGAGGAGCTGAGAGAAGAGCCCTGGGTGACCCTTGAGTGGAATGAATGAACGAATGATTTCATCTCACCTCCTCGAGTTTACTTCATATTGGTGGATCGTCTCAGGAAGAATCCTAAAGTGACTGCCACCACTCAGCTTTCTGGCAGTATAAGTGGGGTAAAGGCAGGGCTAAGGATGAGGCCAGAAGTGGGAGTCTCGCTTGTCCCTGGACCCTCCATTTCCAACTTCCACCAGACAAAATGGCGGACCCTGCTCAGAGACCACGCCCCCTACCTTAGAGGACACAGCTCCGTCACAGCTTCCCTCATCCTGCGCTAACCTCACCCAGAAACCATGTCATTCATCCTCCATATATCCTGCTCCAGAAACAGGCTCCTCACCTTTTACAGACCCGCACCACCGGCAACACGGCTCTCACCCTTCAATGACCCTCAAGCCGGGAAAACGTCCCTCACCCTTCACAGCCCCTAATCCTTCACAAACACCCCCACCCCAGGAACACGCCCCTCACCCTTCACGGA